ATTTATTGAATTTATATACCGCCCTATCTCCCTTACGGGACTCAGGGCGGTGAACAGGCGATAATAAAAACCACAATAAATATACACAAATTTCTGTCTAAAATCAAATTAAATAACAGGCCTGCTCTAAAAATACCCCATACAAAACCCCCACTAAAACATAATCAAACTACGCCAGGCCGGCCGCACGGAATAGATGGGCCTTCAGGGCTCAGCGAAAAAGGCGCAGGTCCGCAACTGTACGTAGGTCGGGGGGTAGGTCATTCCAGAGGGCAGGAGCTGCCACAGAGAAGGCTCCCCCTGGGGGTCGCCAGCCGGCATTGTCTGGCCGACGGCACCCTAAGGAGGCCCTCTCTGTGGGAGCGGACTGGTCGAAGGGAGGTGTTTGGTAGGAGGTGGTCTTGCAAATAGGTTTGAGACTACCTGTGCTGTGGGGAAACAGAATCCCGGAGAGGAGGGCGGGTAAACTAAGAGACTCTTGAAGCTGAATTAAGATGTTGGTTTCGTTCTCTTTTAGGCTGAAGGATTTGTTTTCCTCTGCCGTTTTTCATCCAAAGGAAGATGTCGAGCTATGCTCCTGATATTTTGGTTGATTGATTGATCAGGGGTTTTTTTTATTTATAACTTTCATAGACCATCTCCGTTCCCAGTCCGCGTAGCCAGGGGTTGTGGAAGCTGTACAGGTGTCCCAAAGCTAATATCCCAAAAGTAACTGGATTTTCTTTTTTTTCTTTGAAAACATTTTGCTTCTGGTCCAAGAAGAGCTGAAGAAGCTTCTCGGAGGAGAAGCAAAATGTTTTCAAAGAAAAAAAGAAGAATGTCCAGTTGCCTTTTGGGGGGGGAAGCACTTTTGGGACAACTGTGACTTGGATAATTGAGAACCTCCATAGAAATTGTAGCACAAGGGTCCCCAACCTATGGGCCATGGCCTGGTACCGGGCTCTTGGCCATCAGCCACGGAAATAGCTGGCTGGTGCACACACGCGTGGATGCACATTTCCCCCACTTGCACTAGTGCCTGCAGCCCCATTTGCGCACGCATATGGGCGCAAACGGGAACTTTAGTGCAGGGCGGGTGTCCGTGGCCCGTTGGCGCATGTGCGAATGGGGCCACTAGCCACCACGTGGGTATGCAGCCGTTCACACATGCGCAAACGGGGCCGCAACTTAAAACCACTCACTTAGCAACCATTCGACGTGACAACAGCACTGAAAAAAGTGACTTACGACTGGTTTTCTCGCATTTACAACCCTCACGGCATCCCCACGACCCCATGTTTGAAATTTGAATGCTTGGAGTATATTTATGACAGTTGCCGTGTTCTGGGGTCATGTGATCGCTGCTGCAATCTTCTTAGCCCACTTCCAGCAAAGAGAGTCCCTGGGGAAAACCAGATTCACTTAATGCCTGCCTGGTTCATTTAACAGCTGGAATGGTGCCCTTAACAGCCGTAGCAGCAATAATAATAATAATAATAATAATAATAATAATAATAATAATAATAATAATAATAAAGTTGGAAGGGACCTTGGAGGTCATCCATCTCACAGTTACTACTATTGAGCAAGGTACCCCCTATACTGTACCTGTGTGTTGGGTTTTTCTTGCCTAAATGTAGAACCTTACTTTTTTCACCATTGAATTTCATTTTGTTAGTCAGCGCCCAGTGTTCAAGTCTGTCCAGATCTTGACAGGTGGTTAAAATTGGGCACAGCTCCCTTGATGACCTCTTTGCTTAGCAATGGAAATTTTGGTTCCCAGTTGTGATCGTAAGTCGAGGACCACCTGTAATTTCAAGCAGTTCCTAACCTAAAGCTGACTTCATCCATGGCTCCCACAGAGTGGGTCTCCTCAGGGTGCCATCAGCCAGACAGTGCCGGCTGGCGACCCCCAGGGGGAGGGCCTTCTCGGTGGGAGCCCCCACCCTCTGGAACGAACTACCCCCAGAGATCCGGGTGATCCCGGATCTCCCCTCCTTCCGCCGCACCCTAAAGACATGGCTTTTTCAACAAGCAGGTCTGGCCTAGGGAATTTTAGTGGATTTTAAATTGGTTTTAATCANAAATGAAATGAAATGGCATTCCTCCATAGAAAGCTGGGTCTGAATAATGTGGTTAAGACTTGAGCTGTCCTAACATGAGGGGTCCTTGGTGCTCTCTGAGCTTGCTTGTTTTCTTGCAGATGTTTCATTGCCCAAACTAGGTAACATCAGTGCAAGTAAGGAGTGCTGTTTGCTGCCGGTTTATATTCCGGTGTCTTTCCTGTTTGGCTGGGTGGGGGCAATCTTAGGGATTCTTTGGTTGGGCTGTTTACTAATGTCTCTGGCAGTTTCTTGATTGGGGTGTTGCTTACTTGATTGTTGGTGTGATGTTAACCTTGGAGTTAATCTATGATGATCTGGGTGCTGATTGCTGGTGGAGAGGTGCTGGAGTCTTTTTCTCTTTTGGGCTGATTGTCCCAAAGGTGCTTTTTCAGGAGGCAACTGGACTTTCTTATTTTTCTTTAAAGACATTTTGCTTCTCATCCAAGAAGCTTCTTCAGCTCTGACTGGGTGGTGGGGAATGGAAGGATTTATACTCCTTGCAGACAGCTGGTCATTTGCATCATTTTAGAGAGTCGTTAAGGCCACTTGGGATGACCCTGAGGACACAGATAAACCTCCAAGTGCCTCAGTAACTCTCCAAAAGAATGCAAATGACCAGCGGTCTGCAAGGAGTATAAATCCTTCCACTCCCCACCATCCAGTCAGAGCTGAAGAAGCTTCTTGGAGGAGAAGCGAAATGTCTTCAAAGGAAAAGACAAGAAAAATCCAGTTGCCGCCTGAAAAAGCACCTTTGGGACAACCATGACCTGGATACACTGAGAATCTCCATAGACATTTTGGGCTGGTTGATTGTCTCTTTTGCATAGTCTATAGATGTTGTTAACGTCTATGTGTCTCTTGATGGCTGATTTGTCAAGAGTGCCAGGCTTCTAGAAATTCCCTGGCGTTTTTCGATTTGGCCTGGTCTAGGATTGTCACATTTTCTAAATTGAAACTATGGTTAAATCTGTCTATACGTTGTGAAATTAAAGAATTTTCGTCATGCCTTTTGACTGTCAGTTGGTGTTCGTGGATGTGTTCTGCCAGTCTCTTCTGCCCGTTTGTCCTACATAGTGGCTGTTGCAGTTCGTACATTGTATGTGATAGATGACTCATGTTTTTTCTTCTGGGGTTGCTGGGTCTTTGGGTTTGCTTAGGATGTTTTGAAGGGCTTTCGTTGGCTTGTGTGCTACGCTGATTCCATGTGGTTGTAGCAGTCTATTTGCGGTTTCTGAGATATTCTTGATGTATGGCAGTGTAATTCTTTTTAGGGTGTGTGTTGCGTGTGCTGTATTGGGTTGACTGGTCAAGGACTTTTTGCTTTAAGATGGTTTACAAAATAAATTGCAGCTGGCTAGGTTCACACGACACACACTATTTATAACAGACATGTCAAACACAAGGCCCGGGGGCCGGATGCGGCCCGCGAAGTGGTTTCATGTGACCCGCGAAGCCATCCTGGAAACAGTGAGGGAACGGCCCCCACTGCCTTGGCCCTGGCCCAGGCCGGCTGGGAGCCAATGTACAATTTTGTGGTGGCCATCTATGCTGAAACGCATTCAGTCTTAGCTCCATAAAGCCGTCTTGAAACAGCGAGGAACCAGCCCCTGCCTTGTCGGCCCTGCCACCTGGGTGCATGCTGGGGAGGTGTCACCCTTTGTGAGGAATGAAGAAATGCACCATCGCCTGGAAGTGGCCAGCAAATGGCCCTCACCTGCTTCACATATCCGGCTTGATGGGCTCCAGTGGAGGGGTTTCAGCAGGCGGTGAGGCTCCTACAGTGGACCATGCCTTGGCACTTGCGCCAGTCCCACCCCCTTCTGCCAGAGACCCTCAGATCTGTCCCACTTCTGCCCAGGCCCCCACAGGCACCCTTGACGCGAACGATGTAGAGCTGGCCATGCCCACCCAATAGGGCGCACCCACTCCAGCCACACCCACCCTGGCCACACCCACCCATGCCTCCCCCCCCCCGAGGGCAACTGCAATGCTGATGCAGTCCTCAATGAAATTGAGTTTGACACCCCTGGTTTATAACATTACGGTCTTCAAATCCCCAGGGAGAAACTAATCTGGCTGCCTGATATGCAAAATACCACTTTAATCTCAGCAGTGTAATTTGTCTTGCAAATCCCAGGGCCGAAGAGTTTCCACCATCTGAGCCTCTGGAAGAAACTTGGCCATCCAGCAGCGTGGATCTTCTGACCATGATGGAAGAGCAAGATTTGGCTGGCCTTGAAGCTGGAAGAAACCTCGACGTCCTGGAGGTTGGAAATGGGGCAGAATTCTGGGGGAAGAAGGTGCAGAATATCCTGCGTGGGGTGCACGGCTGCTGGGCAGAGCAGCACAAACGGTTCAGGGAGTTTTGCTACCAAGAAGCGGAAGGTCCTCGGGAAGTGTGGAGCCGAATTCATGACCTTTGCCACAAGTGGCTGAAGCCCAAAAGGCACACGAAAGCTCAGATCTTGGACCTGGTGATCTTGGAGCAGTTCCTGAAAATCCTGCCCCCAGAGATGGGGAACTGGGTTCGAGAGTGTGGGCCAGAGACCAGCTCCGAGGCTGTGGCCTTGGCGGAAGGGTTCCTCCTGAGCGAGATCGAGGGAGCACAAGTAAGTGCATTTTCATTGGCTCTATTGTGGAGTGTGGGGAATAGAATAGAATAGAATAGAATAGAATAGAATAGAATAGAATAGAATAGAATAGAATAGAATGAGTGGAAGGGACCTTGGAGGCCTTCTAGTCCAACCCCCTGCTCAGGCAGGAAACCCTATACCATTTCAGACAAATGGTTGTCCAGTCCCTTTTTAAAAACTTCAAGTGTTCGAGCATTCACAACTTCTGGATGCAAGTTGTTCCACTGGTTAATTGTTCTAACTGTCAGGAAGTTTCTCCTTAGTTCTAGGTTGCTTCTCTTCTTGATTAGTTTCCATCCGTTGCTTCTGGTCCTGCCTTCAGGTGCTTTGGAGAATAGCTTGACTCCCTCTTCTTTGGGGCATCCCCTGAGATATTGAAACACTGCTATTATGTCACCCCTAGTCCCTCTCTTCATTAAACTAGACATATCCAATTCCAGCAACTGTTGGAAAGCAATCTGAAAAATCATCCTTTTCTGGATTTTACCCAAGAAAGAAATAGCCAAGTCCAGTACAGCAGAGGTCTTGGGCAAGTGGAGAGTCTCTATTCACACATTATTAAACTAAATCAGGGTTTGCTTAACCAAAGTTTATCAAATAAAGTGTGATTGCTTGGATCAGAGTTCCCCAACCTTTCGGGGTTGGCGCCCGGAGTAGAGGGAGGGGGTAAAGAAGGGATGGTTTCGTGGGAGGGGTAAACGCATGTGCATGCATGAACACTCATTGCTCACACAAGTGGGGCTGTGAGCGCGCAAGTGGGGCTTGCGTGAGTAAGGCCACAAATGCCCGCAATGCTTATGTGAGTGTGGCAGCAGCAAGACCCGTTATGACACTCGCGCAAATGGGGGTGTGCACACGCGCACACCAGCCAGCCATTCACGCGGTCTGGTGGCCAATAGGCCACGGCCCGGTAGTGGATCGCAGCCCACAGGTTGGGGACCTCTGGCTTCAATCATCTCACACGCTGAGCTATCAAGCGTACAGTTCATAAAAATCATTATTAGAAGTTCTTCCCAATCTCTAAAAGAGTCCAGGCAGTTGCCAGCAAGAACAGAAATACAGCTACAACAGTTCATTTAGAGACTGTTCAAAGTCACAATGGCACTGAAATAAGTAACCTATGACCATTTTTGCACACTTACAACCATTGCAGCATCCCCATGGTCACGTGATTCAAATTCAGACTCTTGGTAACCGACTCTTATTTATGATGGTTGTAGTGTCCTGGGGCCATAAAATGTGATTCCCCTTTTGCCGTCCTTCTGACAAGCAAAGTCAATGGGGAAGCCAGATTCACTTATCAACCTCGTTATTAATTTAACAACTGCACTGATTCACTTAACGGACAGGAAAGGTTGTAAAAAATGGAGCCAAACTCACTTATGTCTTGCTTAGCGACAGAAATGTTGGGCTCGAGTTGTAAGTTGAGGATTACCTGTCATTTATAGGTGGCCTCCCTCCCACTGACTTTGGGTAGCTTACGATTCAAAGTAAAAAAAACTCAAAACCTACAAAAGAATCATGGATGACCTCCAAAATGCCATATAGCCAAAAATATCCACCATCCAATATGGGTACAACATTCACTTTTGCCCAGAACCTTGCAGAACAGCCAAGTCATTACTAGATTCGTGAGTAGCATCAAGATGGGAGCTTCGGAATCTCCTGAGAATGGCCAGCTTCCTGGATCCCACTAAAGCAGACATGTCAAACACAAGGCCCGGGGGCCGGATGCAGCCCGCAAAGTGGTTTCATGTGGCCTGCGAAGCAATCCTGGAAATAGTGAGGGAACGGCCCCCTCTGCCTTCGCCCTGGCCCAGGCCAGCCGGGAGCCAATGTACAATTTTGTGGTGGCCATCTATGCTGAAACGTATTCAGTCTTAGCTCCATAAGCCCCCCCCCCCTCCCCGGCATGGCCTGAGAGGAACGGTGAGGCTCCTCCAGTGGACCATGCCTTGGCACTTGCCCTGGTCCCACCCCCTTCTGCCAGAGACCCTCAGGTCTATCCCACTCCTGCCCAGGCCCCCACAGGCACCCTTGACGTGAACGATGTAGAGCGGGCCACACCCACTCCATCCACGCCCACCCAGTAGGCCACACCCACCTTGGCCACACCCGTCCGGCCCCCTGAGGGCAACCGCAATGCTGATGCGGCCCTCAATGAAATTGAGTTTGACACCCCTGCATTAAAGCAAGGGTCTCCCAACTTGGCAATTTTAAGAATTGTGGGCTTAACTCCCAGAATTCCTCAGCCAGCCACAAGTCTTAAAGTTTTGCAAAGTTGGGAGACCCTTGAACTAGAGCAGCATTCCCTCAACTTTTCAGGCTTGGCGGCCCAGAACGGGGCGGAGGGGGAAAGAAGAGATGGTTTTGTGGGAGGGGGAAATGTGTGCACGTGCACAAACACCCATTGCTCACACGAGTAGAGCCACAACTGCCTGCAACTCACGGTGACACTCACGAGTGGGACCGCGAGCACCCACAATGTTCATGGTGATGCAAGCGCTTGCATGCCGGGCCACGAGCACTTGCATGAGTAGGGTTGCACAAACACCTACGACAACACTTGCGCTGTTGAGGCCACGAATGCCTGCAATACTCGCAGCGATGCTCACAACGGGGGCTGTGCACGCATATGCAGACGTACACATCGGCCAGCCACTCACATGGCCATAGGTTGGGGACTCCTGCACTAGAGAGCACTACTTGATCAGCAGGACTCAGCTTCTCCACTCTGCCTGATCACCCTGGACCCTAGATATAACCATACATGGTTGTTGTTGTTAGTTGCGAAGTCGTGTCCGATCCATCGCAACCCCATGGACAACGTTACTCCAGGCCTTCCTGTCCTCTACTATCTTCTGGAGTCCATTTAAGCTCACGCCTACTGCTTCAGTGACTCCATCCAGCCACCTCATTCTCCGTCATCCCCTTCTTCTCTTGCCCTCAGTCTTTCCCAGCATTAGGCTCTTCTCCAGTGAGTCCTTCCTTCTCATTAGGTGGCCAAAGTAACCAAAATAACCAGCCCCTATGTCACAAAGAGCTTCATAATGATAACCAGCATCTTGAAGTGCCAACTGGTAACCAGTGAAGTTCAAGTCAGGCCCAACCCTTACTTTGCTTACCTTTCATTTTAATGGAAACAAGTGAATTCCAAGAGATTTATGGGCAGGTAATAGAAAAGCTAAAATTCTCCCGCAAAGAAGATACTTTTCCTCTGTTTTTTTGCAGGATGTAACCAAATTGGAATGTGAACATTAAGTACATGGTTAAATTAGGTTTGAAAGGGGACAAGTCAGAATCATAGCGATTTTGAAATCAAGACTCCTCATCTTGAGGATTTTTTCATCCCTGTTGGTTCTTCGAGCAGACTTCCATAAAGCCGATAATTTCCTGGCAACGTGAAGGATTGAACCCACATTTGCAAAAATGGTGACTAATTTTCTTTGTGTGGGTTCTTTCCTCCTGGTTCCAGGCACAAGGGATGCTGGCCAGACCTGCCTCTGAGTTTCCCGACACGGAGAATTTATCAGCCGACATAAATCCGAGGCCACGGTTTGAGAAAATTGTGGATGATAAGGCCGCCTCTCTGGGTAAAGTAATTTCATTGAGTCACCTTCTCTCACAGTCCTGTGTGAAAGACACAAAGTGTGAAATATGCCTTTGCTTTACCTACAGAAAATGAAATGGCCGTGGATGGTGGGATGGGAACCGCTTCTCTGCAGTCAGATCAGGTAAGGATTATGTAGGGAAGCTTAGGAGTAAAAGCGTCTGCAGAATGGGTGGCTTTCATCAGAATAAAGTTTCATCATCAGAAACTAGGCTGTCCCTTTCCAAAACTAGTCTATGGAGATTCTCAGTTATCCAGGTCATGGTTGTCCCAAAGATGCTTTTTCAGGAGGCAACTGAACTTTCTTGTTTTGCTTTGAAGAGGTTTTGTTTCTCAGCCAGATGGTCATTTGCATTCTTTTAGAGAGTCGTTGAGGCCACCTGGAAGTTTATCTGTGTCGTCAGGGTCACCTGAGTAGTGCAAATGGGTGTGGAGCCCTCTTGGAACTGCTGAAAGGACTGTGTTACAGACTGGAAATAGATGATGCTGTATCCCTCCCCCTTTGTTGAGAGAGGTTTGTTCAAAATAGAGGGGGAGGGATATGACATCATCTATCTCCAGTCTACAACACAGCCCTTTCAGCAGTCCCAAGAAGGCTCCACACCTATTTGCACCACTCAAGTGACCCTGACGACACATATTAACCTCCAGGTGGCTTTGCGATACATTAAACAAAAGAATCATGTTCTGGCTTTGCATGATGTATCGGTCCTGTCACTTTCTCTCTGTTAAGAAGTTTGAAGACAACTGAAAAAAATGTTGGGTTGTAGAATAGCATGTTTTCATCTTTTTTCAGGGCTCAGGGCCCGTTAACAAAGTGGCTACAGAGGAAAGGACTCCATTAGATCCAAACCAGATGGACACAATAGAAGAGAATTATGGGACCTTGCCGTCTCTGGGTAAGTTTTCTTCTTGGCTACAAGAACCAAAAATCAGAAATGACTGCCATCAATTGTGCTAAACCGTGCTCTGTGGGTGAGTTCTAGAACAGGGGTCCCCAACCTGTGGGCTGTGGCCCACTACCTGGCCATGGCCTCCTGGCCACAAGGCCACGGGACAGGCCGGCCAGTGCGCGCACATGTGCACACCCACACTCCCCACTGAGGCTAAAACATATAAGGAACGGTTGCTGGAATTGGGTATGTCTAGTTTAATGAAGAGAAGGACGAGGGGGGACATGATAGCAGTGTTGCAATATCTCAGGGGCTGCCCCAAAGAAGAGGGAGTCAAGCTATTCTCCAAAGCACCTGAAGGCAGGACAAGAAGCAACAGATGGAAACTACTCAAGGAGAGAAGCAACCTAGAACTAAGGAGAAACTTCCTGACAGTTAGAACAATTAACCAGTGGAACAACCTGCCTCCAGAAGCGGTGAATGGACAGCCATTTGTCTGAAATGGTATAGGGTTTCCTGCCTGAGCAGGGGGTTGGACTAGGTGACCTCCAAGGTCCCTTCCAACTTTATTATTATTATTATTATTGATAGTAGTGCCACTGGCGCAAACACAAGGCGCTACACCGCACAACAGGGCAGTGCTAGTATCATGGCATTAGCACCGCCCCATTTGCGTCACATGTGCTTGCAGCCCCGTTTCGTATGCGTGCCCATGCGCACGCATAAAATGCTGCCCCCTCCCTTTCCCTCCAGTCCACCAACTGAGAAAGGTTGGTGACCTCTGTCCTAGAGAAGAGCAGTAGCTGATCCATGTGGATGTGGGAAGCAGTGAGAATAGAGACCCAGTTTGGTCTAGTGCAGGGGTCCCCAAACTACCGGGCCACTGCCTATTGAGTGGCTGGCTGTTGCGCTGGTGTGCGTGCACGCACTTACAGCCTCACTCAGACAAGTGCTGCCGCATGTGTCGTGTTCGTGGCCCCACTCACATAAGTGTTGTCATGGCTATTCACAGTCCCACTCACGTGAGCGTTGCCAGCATTCACGGCGCCACTTGCATGAGCATCACAAGCATTCGCAGCTCCACTCGCACGAGCAAAGGGTGTTCATGCACATGCCCACATTCTCACACACACACATACACACACACATACAAATCATCTCTTCTTTCTCCCCTCCCGCCACTCTGGGCCGCCAACCCCAAAAGGCTGGGGAATTCTGGTCTAGTAGCTAAGGTATCAGGTTAGAAACCGGGAAACCGTTCTAGTTCTAGTCCTGCCAATGGCATGAAAACCAGCTGGGTGACCTTGGGCCAGTAATTTCAGCCCAAATGACCTCACATGATTGTTGTTATGGGGAAAATAGGAGGAGGAAAGAGTATGGTGTATGTTTTATTATTTATAAAAATAATAAAAGCAGCAAATAAATCAATTAAAAAAAATAAAATTGGCCTGCGCTACATTAGCATCATCAGAGCTAGTGAGTGTGAGGCTTGTTCCCTGTTTGTTTACTGTAGCACCCCCATCAATGCTGGCAAGATAAGCTACTGTATATAAACAGAGACCAAACCCTACACCAAATAGGAAAAGGGGGGTATGTTGGATATGTTTGTCACACTGAGTTATTTGCAAAAATACAAATAAATAAACACCAATACTGGCTTAATTCATGCCAATTGCCAGGCTCCTTGTCCACGATTGTTGGTGTGTTTTCTATAGGAACCTTCAAACTGTTTAGTTAACCTTGTTGCTCTCTTTCTCTGTGTAAGAACTACAAATACTTGCCATTAGTGTCTTAACTTTAATTAAGCAATGGGCTAAATTTAAATCAATAATGGTTTGATATCATAAAATGCACCAGAAGTAAGTTTTCATTTTTTTCCCTTTTCTTGCTACTTTGTTTCAGTGCCCCAAACTAAATTCACCTCATGGCAGGAAGTAACTGAGGACCCATCTGTCAAGGATTCTCAAGGAGAAGAAAGACCAGCAGGTAAGCATTCAGTTCACACATTGCATTAAGCCATGGCTCGCTTAGCGATGTTTACTGAATAAATTATAATCACCAAATTTACCGAGCAGAATGGAATAGGGTAGGATAGGGATAGAGATGGGGATGGGGAATGGAATTAGGAATTAGGAATTAATTAAGAATAGAATAGAATAGAATAGAATAGAATAGAATAGAATAGAATAGAATAGAATAGAATCTTTATTGGCCAAGTGTGATTGGACTCACAAGGAATTTGTCTCCGGTGCATAGGTTCTTTATGTACATAGAAACAACAAAATGATAAGTCATAGTGCCCACGTGATAAGTCATTATGTCCAAACTAAACAAATTAACTTTTCGTTTTGCATATATAGCATCATCTCAGTGATTGTGCTGTGTCATGCTTTGCATTTCTTTAATAATGGTTTAAGGAATAAGCCCCAGTTGGCCTGGATCTTGCAAAGTGCGAAGGCATAAATAATGATTTATAAATCACACTTTCTGAGCAAATATAAAATACAGTCATAATGTGATTAGTATCATTTTGGTAGAAGGTATTGTCCAGACACCACCTCTTCCTTGAATCTAGGGGCTCTTCCAAAATTGGAGGTAAAGTTTTGTCTGATCAGGTTCCTCTTATTGATTCACTCAGATGACGGCAAAAGCAGTAAACAGGATAAACAGAAATTTGAAGAAAAACAGAAATGGGGAGAGAAACCTGTCCCTTTTGAAGAGGCTGACTTCTCTCAAATTCCAAAATTAGAAGAATATAATGAAGAAATGAAAAATACGAGTAATAGTAGAGAAAAGCCACTGAAATCCCTTGAGTTTGGAGGTGGCTTAAGTGAGCAGGTAAGACTTACTAAGCCGCAGAGAACAGGAGGTAAAACCTATAAATGCTTAGAGTGCGGAAAGAACTTCACAAACCTTAAGTCACATCAAAAGATGCACACGAGTGAGAAGCCATACAACTGTTCAGAGTGTGGGAAGAATTTCCGGTACAGCATGAATCTGAAAACACATCAGCAAATTCACACAGGGGAGAAACCATATAAATGTTCTGAATGTGGAATGACTTTCACCTACAGCATGAATCTCAAATCGCATCAAAAAAGCCACACTGGGGAGAAACCGTACAAGTGTTTGGAATGCGGGAAGAGTTTCACTCACAGCATGAACCTGAAGTCGCATCAGAAAATCCACACGGGAGAGAAACCCTATAAGTGTTCAGAGTGTGGGAAGAATTTTAGTTACAGCATGAATCTGAAGACCCATCAAAGAATTCATACCGGGGAGAAGCCATATAAATGTTCTGTCTGTGGAAGGACGTTCAGGTATAGCATGAATCTGAAAACACACCAGCGAACTCACACGGGGGAGAAACCATATAAATGTTCTGAATGTGGAATGGCTTTCAGCTACAGCATGAATCTCAAATCGCATCAAAAAAGCCACGCTGAGGAGAAATCATACCACTGTTCGGACTGCGGCAAGAATTTCAGTGACAGCGCAAACCTGAAGTCGCATCAAAAAATCCACATGGGAGAGAAACAGTATAAATGTTCCGAGTGTGCAAAACAGTTCAGTAGCAGTTCAGACCTTAAACTGCATCAGAGAGTTCATGTAGGGAAAGAACTCTCTAATGCTCCCAAGGAACGCGTTTAAAGTCACTGTGCAACCTGTAAGAAGATTGTACTGAAAGGATATTGCTGGATGTGGGATCCTACTTTTCACATCTTCTATCCAGGGAGGTCTACAAGGTGGGGTTAAAAAAAGTCAAAGTTGAGGGCCCTGTGGCCCTGTGATTGAATCCCTGTCCCTTTTAATCTGTGTTAAACAGGAATCACATAAAAAAAGAGCAGGGCTTAGTTCATGTGGCCATGATTACCATCTAGATATTTTCAATACTTCGTAGAGTTATTCCTGCTTGCTTCAAAATATGGAATGAATTGAGCCTTCTAAAATGCTTAGTGTTTGAGGTTAATTTCATTGATAGTCTTAAAACGTTGAATTTCAGCAGAGGACAACTGCGTGTTTTTATGTGCAGAAGTATCCCACCTTAAACTTGCATCAAGCAATTTCTCATGGAAGTGAGAAGTGATAGTCCCATGTATCAAACAATCTTCAGTCCTAGCAAAAGTCTTGCATCCGGTCAGGGAATGTAGAGAGGGGAGAATCATATTAAATTGTAATATGGACTGAAGGGGGGGGGAATTTCCCATGATCGCATAATGCTTCGTTTTAAAAGAGATTCCATGAACTCCGTGGAAAGATATGTAAATAATCAAGGATCAGTTTTTATCTGGCCGATCTCTGTAGCCAAGAAGGATTCAGCATGGTAGACCAAGATTCCTTTGCTCAAAATGTGGCAGAAAATTCCTTCTAGTCCATGTATGTGTGTTTTTAATTGGGCACCTAACTAGTGACCTCAAATTAACTTTGACAAAAAAAAAACCCCTATCATTATAGTTAATACTATAGTTGATTTGTTGGGTGGTGGTGGTTTTTTTAATATCTCCATACTGTCACTTTATGCCAACGGTCCCCAACCCTTTTTGGCTTGGAGACCCAGCGCTGGGAAGAGCGGATGGTTTCATGCAAGTGGCAGGCAAGTGCACAAAGCTCCATTATGCGAGTGGAGCTTTGCATGTGAGCGCAAGCGCCCGCAACTCACATAAGTGGAGCTCCACACGCATGCTCACCCGCTGCTTGTGCAGCTCAGTTCCAAATGGGCCACAGCCCAGGGGTTCGGGACCTCTGCTTTACACAGTCATTTTTAATCAATCCAGTGTTGTACTGCCTGCTTATCTTTGTCCAGGACTTGCCTTTAATTCAAGGTTCCCAAAGCTCTGGATGAGAAGTATGGGAGTATTACTATTATTTTTTTAAGAAAACCTGAATTTTCCTTGTGGGGCAAGTTTTTCAAATGCAGCTTTCCCCATATAAGCCTTTGTAAATTTTACTACTATTGGTAGGGAACTCTGGGTAGTGTACATAATTTAAATGCTGTGGAGGATGGGAGAGTTGATCAAGGGAAAATTAAAATTGTCAAACTGCAATGCTCTTATTCTTTCTGTTGCAATGACTGAGGCAAATGGAACGTCATAGGTGCTTTCAAGTGAAATTTGAAGGAGGAATTCCTCTGCATCTCAACATTTGGCTTATAGGCTTTAAAAAGTCAGTGAATTAAGGAAAATCTTACTGACAAACTGATCACATACTCCAGCTTAAAATTTAATCTGCGTTCCTTTTTCTCTGTTTTTTTTTTTTTCTTGCTTGCATCATGTCACTTTCAGTTTTCTTGAGTCAATTTGTCCTCGTTCTCCACCCCATTGCACAATCTTCTGTAAAATAAGATCTGGAGTACCGAATCATCTTTATTTCCAAGAACATGTTTGGTTTCCACATAGGCCCAGGAAAACGATCAAAGTTTTTAAAAAAACATGGCTGTAGCACAGTCCAATGTATCATTCTACTTTTCCAGAAAAAAATGTCATTTCAGCTAGATATTGATGGTAAATATTGTGGTGAGCCAGAAAATGTTTTGGTGAATAATGTAAGCACCTGCTTCATGATTATTTTTTTCTTTGAATTTGATCATACCTGCATTGCCATCATTTTGTGAAAGGGCAACTCCCATCAACCATTTTCTTTGGGTATCAATGATCTTGTGCACTCTGAATTTGTAAAGTAAAAGATTGAGGGCCTCATAATTCTCATAATAAAGATTTCATAATAAAATGTTAGGGGTTTCATAACTAATAGTATTTTCTGCAGTTCTCTTACTTCTCATGAAGAATTCCCATAGGAGGGAGGCTCATAAGAGTATGAAAAGAGCAATACTTAAAATGATCAGCTTACCGTAAAGGGATCCACATTATTAAGAAACCCTACAAATGTATACAGCGTGGAAAGAACTTCAGGTAAAACTATTACCTTTGTCTGAAGGATATGGATCAGAAAGAGAAATAATACTGAATACAAACAGCAGACTACGTGGTCGGAAGTTATTGACTTCGCCTACTGTTACTTACGTGATTGAGATGGTAACCCAAGTTGATAAATGTACAATATAGTTTGGAGTCTTCATTTGCGAGATACAAGCAATAATATCCTACCTTGGTGCTCCCTGAATTGGTTGTTTCCTTGCAGACAATTCACTAGCACTGATGATGTTACCTAGTTTGGGTAATGAATCATTTGCAAGAAAACAATCAAGCTCAAAGAGCACGAAGGACCCCTCTTTTCAACCCAGAACTACAAGTATTCTCGTTTATCGGTAATGATATGCTACATCTTCCAAGAATTAGGATGAATATTTGAAAGGTGCTGTGAAAGCCTGACCTGAGGAGCTTTTAAATGAATAGGGGGGAGGGCACACACATACACCCCAAATAACAATGTCAAGTAAATGGTGGGACAGGTAAAAGGTATGAGATATCTAATGTAAATATGGGGATAAATGTTATGATCAATTTCAGGGTCTCTACAAATACACAAAATATGCAGTGAATAGGAAGAACACGACATTTCAATGCATGGAGGGGACTATGATCTAATACACGGTGGGATGAAACTCCTATGTGGAATGCGAAAAGTGAAGGATATAATAAAAGGGGGGGAAGAGTACTGTAAATAAGGGAAGCACAGATGTTTTTCGAGATTTAGGAAATTAAACACAAGGGCCCAGTCAAAAGCATTGTTGGAATGATGAATCTTGAACCTGTCCTTATGGGTAAAATGTTTGAGAATGTTAAGGAATAATTAGAAAAAGGCGGCAGGATTGAGGTATATAAAATGTCTGAAAAAAGAAGCGACATGAAAAAAAGGCTCAAAATGTTAGGGTCCGAGGATCCAATGAAGGAGATTTGAGAACAGAACAAAGGAAGTCGTTCTGACAGCAAAGCGCTTCATAACATTTGTAAGAAAATGCTGTGATTGTCATCAACCTCTGGTCATCATTCAATACAGTGGCATTTTTTGGTCTTCCATTGAGATTTGCACCGATTCTGTCTGTCTTCAGAGATATCCATTTAGTTTTGCTTGCATAGTAAATTTTCTGGAAACATAAGAAAAATATATTTCAGTTCTCAGCGATGGAAATCAAATTTGCCATGCTCCAAATAGTGGTTATTTCAAAGAAAACATGAATTCATTTTGTATAGAGGGTCTAGGATTCTAAGCTCTTTAGGTTTAATCTTGTCTTAATTTCATACTTGATGAAGATCATTTTTAATTCTGTATTTTAATTCCTCCTATAATGGATGTTTCTCCTCAAATTCCTTTATTAAACTGCTCCTATATTTAGCTGTTTTCTCTCCCTTATTAAATGAATTCTACTTTGCTTGCTGAGAGGAATGTGCCATCTCAGTTTCTTCACACTTCTGTTTCCTGAGGTAATTTTGTTGTTGTAAAACTTGGTTATTTGGCAATTTTTTCCATTTAGCAACATGATTTCCTTCAGTATTTTTCCCCCCTTCAGCATCTCCATTGTGCTCTTCCACAGCTCCATATACCAGATACCACAGCCATCATCTTTTATCCCCTCAGATCAGGGGCTGTTCCTCAATAAAAGTGTTTCTTAGTACAGTACAAAAGCTGGAAAGTCCTCCCTTTGAGAGAGATGTTGGGGCAAAGTCACTCAGAATTACTGTACTGTTTTACTAGAAGTACAGCATTGCGTTTCTACATTAGATGTTCCCCACAAGCAGGGAGTAACTGTTAGCTCCGCCCCTTCAAACATTCCTCTTCCTGAATATTCCAAATGTCACAATAGCAGTTGAAGTGGGAAGTTTCAGAGTCATGTGACTTCAGGGTTTCACTTTAGATGAGACCAGAGAGAAGAGAATAGAATAGAATAGAATAAAATAACAGAGTTGGAAGGAACCTTGTAGGTCATCTAGTCCAACTCTAGCTGCATCTTCTTCTCTAGCCTTCCTAGGCACCCACCCCATTTCCCGTCCATTGCCCCGAAGACGTCACACTCAGGATCCGTTAGGGGGCGCACTCTGCAAACAACCACCGGATTTCGCAGGAAATAGCTTTTGCTCCAAGAAACATCTTTCCCGGGATTTGCAGGGAAAAGCCGGGAGCGAAGGATCTCACGCGGAGGGCGCGCACTCTCCAAATGCCGGACCGAACTTTGGAAACGAACGCGGAGATCGAGATCCCGGGAGGTCTTCTGTCCTTTCACAAATGTTCTCTTGCACGCTTTTCTTCTGGCACTAAGTCCAGGCGAGGGGTTTGTAAATTCCTTCCTTCCTTCCTTCCTCTTTGCTCTCGATCTGGAGAGGGGTTCTACTGAGCTAAGCTGAATCCCTCCCAAGATTCCAGCTACTGCGCTTCCACTCGCCTTCTTCACTTTTACACGGTGCGCAGGACATCTTATTTCTGCAAGGCAAGCCCCTTCTGGGTGAAAATTGAGTTTTGCACAAACTCGCAACCTGGCAAGGTCAGGGCTGGGTGTCTGCATCTGGAGCATCTGCAAGTCACAGGGTCAGGGTTTCCTGGCCTGGAAGGTACTCTCTTTCCTGGACTGGAGGCAAGGAAATATTCTCTTCTGCAGAAGTCCAAGGATCCAAGCTGATCGACATCCCCTATCAATATTCCTCCGCTATAATAATAATAATAATAATAATAATAATAATAATAATAATAATAATAATAATAATAATAATAAATAATAATAAATAATAATAATAAATAATAATAATAAATAATAATAATAAATAATAATAATAAATAATAATAATAAAGTTGGAAGGGACCTTGGAGGTCATCGAGTCCAACCCACTGCCCAGGCAGGAACCCTACACCATTTCAGACAAACGGCTGCCCAGTCTCTTCTTAAAAACTTCCACTGTTGGAGCATTCACCACTTCTGGAGGCAGGGTGTTCCACTGGTTAATTGTTCTAACTGTCAGGAAGTTTCTCCTTAGTTCTAGGTTGCTTCTCTCCTTGATCAGTTTCCACCCATTGCTTCTCGTCCTGCCTTCAGGCACCTTGGAGAATAGCTTGACTCCCTCTTCTTTGGGGCAGCCCCTGAGATATTGGAACACTGCTATCATGTCCCCCCTCGTCCTTCTCTTCGTTAAACTAGACATACCCAGTTCCAGCAACCGTTCCTTATACGTTTTAGCCTCCAGTCCCCTAATCATCTTTGTTGCTCTTCTCTGTACTCTTTCTAGAGTCTCAGCATCTTTTTTACATCTGAGTCCTTACAGAGTAGCAGCCTGAGTAGATATTTGGGGAGGGGAGGGGAGGGGGGGAAGAAAGCTTTCAAGAGAGACAATGGATGGAAACTAATCAAGGAGAGAAGCCACCTGGAATTAAGCAGAAACTTCCTAACAGTGAAGACAATTAACCAGTGGAACAGCTTTGTCTTCAGATGTTGTGGGTGCCTTCATCATTGAAGGTTTTTAAGAAGAGACTGGACAGCCACTTGTCTGAAATGGTATAGGGTCTGGACTAGAAGACCTCCAAGGTCCCTTCCAGCTATTCTGATTCTGATGTGAAGTGGTATGCATTGTGTTAACGACTAAGGATTTTTGTCACCCCTTTGCAACTATCTTTCATTAGTGTTGTGCTGTTCATGCTATAAATCCTTGCTACAAATGTAAATTGCAAACATATTGAATAACGAAAGAAGCGGTATATAAGTCTAAGTGCTATTGCTACAATGGGATTTCCTTATTTTAGCTGATCATCAGGAAATTATATGTAGCTAAGGGTTGAAATGTAGGGTCCTTGGTGCTCTCTGAGCTTGGTTGTTTTCTTGCAGACATTTCATTACCCATAACTAGCATTGATGATGTTACCTAGTTTGGATAACGAAATGTCTGCAAGAAAACCACTAAGCTCAGAGAACACCAAGGACCCTTCATTTCAACCCTGAGCTACATATAATTCTTTTATTGGCATTGGCCGCTTTTAACAGGTCTTCCTCACAGACAGACAGGAACTCTTAGCCCCGCCCCTTCCAACGGGTCTTTTCCGAAGGTTCTCAACAGGGGAATTCCCTGAGGGGATTCCGCCACTACAGCGAAGGAGAGGGCCTGAAAGGCCACTCTCTCCTCAGTACGGCCTTTCTAGGGAGAAACATTCGCTCCTTTTAACCCTTGGAGACCCTGGAGAGAACGAGGATGCCTGGAATGCCTTGGATGTCCGTGTGCGCGGCTGCATCTGCGGGGCGGGGGGGGGGGTTGGTCCTCCTGCAGCCTCGCTTGGGATCGGGGTTCCAAGCGGGGGGGAGCTTTCGGCAGATCCATTTCTTCCCCGCGGGCTCCAAGCCAGGAAGCCGTTTCTCTGTGCCAAGTTTGGTCTCTGGCGTTTCCCTAAAGCATCGAAGCCGCTGCCTGCATCCCGGGAGGACAAAAGGAGCGAGTTGGGATGCTTTTCTCCTGGAAGCCTCAGTTGCAGATGGCAGGAATGAGGAGAGGAGGCCCCAGGTTTCTGGTCATACAGCTTTACTACAATACGTAGTACTGACTTCCATGTCTATGGAGATCCTCAGTAGTCATCTTCATTAAACTAGCCATCCCCAATTCCAGCAACCGTTCCTTATATGTTTTAGCCTCCAGACCCCTGATCATCTTTGTTGCTCTTTTCTGCACTCTTTCTAGAGTCTCAACATCTTTTTTACATCGTGGTGACCAAAACTGGATGCAGTATTCCAAGTGTGGCCTTACCAAGGCATTGTAGAGTGGTATTAATACTTCACGTGATCTTGATTCTATCCCTCTGTTAATGCAGCCCAGCACTGTGTTGGCCTTTTTGGCAGCTGCAGCACACTGCTGGCTCATATTTAGGTGATTGTCCACTAGGACTCCGAGGTCCCTCTCACAGTTACTACTATTGAGCAAGGTACCCGCTATACCTAGAAATTTGGACTGCTGCTAGGAGGCATCTGAGGTATGAGGTCCCACAAAGCTCCATTATTTTTACCCATTGGGGAAAATAATTTGGTGTCAAGAGGAAACGTCTGGAGAGTAGCCTCTAGAGTCCTGGAGTGGAATATCATCACTTTATTGCTTAACATTTAATTTCAAGTGGGGAAGAAGACCAGTTGAAATTAAATCAAGAGAAAATGGAGGTGCTGTTGTTACAAGCAAACTGTGCTTAAATGCTGGG